CATTCGCCGGCAGTACGCCGCGGCCTGGAAGGCGGCGTGGGCCCAGCCAAGCGCGCTCGGCGGCGGCGGCGGCGATGCCGGGATGGCGGCGGGCAAGACCTCCCCCGCCTCCCCGGCCCGCGGCGGCCTCGCCAGGAGTTTTAGCTGGGCCTCGGGCAGGACGGCGTGGCGCCGAATTCGGGGGAGCAGACGGCCCTGGATGATCCCCAGCGCGGACATCACCACGGCGGAGACGATCTGCGTCGAGTTCGTGTTCCGCGAGCGGTGGATCGCGAGCCGCAGGAAGAAAAAGACATCGTCGATCAGGGAAAGCCGCTTGCCGTGGAGGAAATAAAGATCCTCGCGGTTCCGCCGCTTGGCCCGGCGGTCGCCCAGCCGCGCCGCCGAATTGTAAATACTCGACAGCCCGGCCATAATTGAGGTGGGGGTGTCGGAAAACTTAAAATTTGCCCCCGCCTCCCCACTGACCCCATCGCTGATCTGATTGGGCGAAAGCTCCCCCTCAACGTTCGTGACCACTTCTTTTATGGCCGAGGTCTGCAGTTGGATGGCCTGATCAAAGGCGATGTTGAAGTAGTAAGTCTGGAGAGGGACATAAAGCGAGAGAAGATCATGCATGGTATTCAGCAAGGCATGATCCTTCCCTCCCTCAAAAGCGTTCATCGCGGTCGATAATGGTGTGGGGTGCGTCTTCGCCTCATCCTTCGCGTGAGCGCGAATGTTGTCCTTCTTTGCTTCAACAAAGGACAAGTAGATTTGACAGCAGGATAACAAATGGCTCGTTTCCTCCAGCACCTGATCCACCTGCCGCGCATCCGACGGGATCCCGACCGGGCCGGAGGCGAATTTCCCCTCCAACCCTCGAGGCTCCCCCGCCTCTCTTTCCTCCTCGCTATAGCCGCTACTCACAGAGTGGTCCCTGCCATCCTCGGAGTTCGGGAATTTCGCCTCACGGGATCGAAGCGCGGCGGGGGATAGGGCGTCCGTCAGGGGCTCCATCATGGCTAAGATGGGCCGACGCCGCTCCACAAAATCCTGCAAGACCGGGACGCACTGCGCGGTGGATCGGTTGTGCAATTCCACCAATAACAAAATCGGCCCCGCCTCGCCGAAGGTCTCGCGGGTGAAGGTCTCCTCGGCCTCAAAGGTCGCCGCCACGGTATCCAAAACCTGGGAAACCAACGTGAGATGGCTCATCGCCGGGCGCGTCGGGTCGTCCATTTTTTCTAATTCCTGCTCCACCATCTCCTTCAGGGAGGAAATGGTGTGATCACAGACCCATTTGCAGTAAAATTCCCGGCCCTCGTTCGAGAAGTGGAGCTGCTTTAGCTGCGAGACACACTCCATGATCTTGGGTTTGTGGTTGGACAGGGCCGCCTCCGTGATGCGCTGAAGAAGTTTCTCGCGAGTCCTCTCGCGAGCGTTTTGGATAAGCGGGCTGAGCGCTAAGCTCTTGGGAAGCTCCGCTTCGGCATCCTTTTTAGCAATGCCCTCTTTTTCACTTTCGAGATGTGTATCGGTATGACAGATGCGAATCAAGAGATCACGAGCCTCTTCATAGGAATTGATCAGCCCCACGATGGCGTCAAATCCCTCACCCTCCAAAGCCTTTGGAACTAACTCGACATTGCGGTCCATTTGCATAACCAATTCGGCGACTCGTTTAGCATCCTTTACCCGTGATAAAAGTTTATCCAATCGCTTCACCACAAACGAACTCCGCCCAGCGAATTTCGCGCTGCTCTCAACCCTGCGGGCGAGAGAAGCGCTTTGTTGAACACAAAATGGGAGTTTTTGATAGCGAACCTCGTTAATTTCACGCAAACTCGGCTCGAGGTTTTCGCGCTCTTGAACCAAACCGGTGGTTTCCCGCAGAAGGCTACTACGAAGCTCAGTGTGTTTTGAAATTCGCTGGAGAAGACGCTCAACCCGCCCCTCTAAATTTTCAACATGATTCATTCTGAGTCTATGGATGTGTCTTTCCTTAGTGAGCTTACTTTCTAAATTGAACGATAGGGTTTCTAAGGATAGCCCCACCCAACCCCCTTGATCTTCTAGTACGACAACACAAATTAGCAATAATCCAGTTGTAAAGAAATGAAGTGGATCAAGTCGATGAGTACAACCAGTGAAAAGACAACGAAAAGGAATAATAATGGTAGTATTATGAACACACTTTGGCTCGCACCATTTCACGGAGCAGCACAAAAAAAAAAAGTAAAGGCGATCATTTGCTCCTCCACCTCCTCCTATAATTAATGTGTGAGTTCAACTTAGCATCTGTTCACCTCGCTGCTTCCATCCTGCTTACGCAAGTCCTACCACTTGGGGTGCATTTCTAGTATAAGATACCTTTTGCCTCTATCAATATCGATCGAACTATCCGTCTTATTTATTGGGTAATAGTGCCATACTTCCCCTTTTGTGTGGATACCTCATGCATAATGAATGCCAGGACGGGTGGTAAATCAATTTTGCTGTACGTTTGCTGCCGCAAAGCCCGCACGGCCTCCTCCCTCGAGTATCCATTTCCTTCCATGCAATGGATGAAAAAATTCCAAAGCGGCCTCAGCAGGCTCTCATCGCTGTACAGAACGGGCGATTCCTTCCTGCCATCACCCGCCAACGTCGCCGAGGAGCCGTCGTCCCGTCGAAGATGCTTTCGAGGCCGTCTCGCGTTGTCGTTCGAGTCGCCACTTTCCCGATCGGAATCCGGATCCTCCGAGGGGTTGATTCGCACGGCCTCCTCCTCCGCGCTGTCAAAGGCGCTCTCGCCGTCATCCCCCGCTTTGGGGTGGGTCAGTTCGAAGCGGTCCCGATCCCGCTGTTTGGCAAGATCGGTGGTGCCGGGCGGGTAGATGCGCCGCGAGAGTTCATCCCCCCCTCGGCCCTCCGTCCGCCCGGGAAGAGGAAACCCCGCAGCATGCCTGCCCCCCATCGCCGCGGCGGCCTTTTGAAGCCGCCCCAACGGCAAGGCGAGGAAACTGAGGGCGATCCCCGTCGCCCCGGCCCGCCCGGTTCGCCCGATGCGGTGAATATACCGCACAAAAGCCTCCTCGGGCGTCTCCATCCCGCCCGGGGCCTTCTCGGAGGGCCAGGGCAGGTCGTAGTTCACCACCAACGACACCCCAGGGACGTCGAGGCCGCGGGATAACAAATCGGTCGTGATCAACACCCGCCGCTCCTGTCGGTGGAAGAGCTCCGTCAGGCGGCGGCGCTCGCGCTGCGAGAGCTCCGCGTGGACGACGGCCGTCGACGTCAAATGCTCCAACCGCGGCCCCCCCGACGGCGCCG